TGGGAGGGAGGGAGAAAAGGAGGGAGGGAGGGAGGGAGGGAGGGTGCGAGGGAGGGAGAAAAGGAGGGAGGGAGGGAGGGAGCGAGGGAGGGAGGGGCAGGAGGGATGCGTTTGAAGTTGCAGGGAATTGAATTGACCAGTGTTTTTTTTAAGTCTGATCTCAGTAAAAATGAGTTAATGCAACTGACCCCTTCTGGTACTCTTGTACTGTTGAGTAAAAAACGCTGGGAGGAGTCATGGCCGAGTCATGAACTGTCATGCACCTTGAAAGTTGACTTAAAAGTCTCAGTGCGGAGAGAGAGCCTAAAGTTAAAACTACGTATGTCAAAAAGCGTTCGTTCGCTCGTGGATTCGCGATACGCTGTCAGCCGTTAAACTCGGCCCTAAAACTAGAGCTAGCTAGTAGTAGTAGAGGAGAGGGAGGATGATGACTCTCGGAGGGTAGTCATTTAAAGAAGAGGTTCACCGCTGACGATGTGTGACAGTTTTCAAAAGTAATGTTCGGTAGTAAAGTCAGCATGTCATTGAGAGTCATGTATACGTGCATTTTTATCTTGCAGTTCATTAAAATATTGTTTCCCTTGTTTTGCCTCCCTTGCTAAAATAATAATAAAGTTAACATGAGATAGACGAACCAAAAAGAAATTGATGTCTGAGATGCAGTTAGGGAAGCGCCATTACACGGTTGGAAAGCAGATGGGAATCAAGTTGAGAGATCATATCAGAAGCTCAAAATTTATTTGAGAGATCTAACAGAGTACCGGTCAAGTTCAGGAGAGTACAAATGATGGGGTACAAAATATACATTGCATCGGGTGTATTTACTTTGAGATTTGATATGGACCGATGTCCGCTTCAACTATAGTACCCAATATTAGTACCAATAAATAGTTTTTGAGTGAATTCTGGTCGATATCTATTTGATAACAAATCTTTTATGTTTTTATTTTGTACCAATATTGTACGGCCAAAAGTCTTTGATCCCGGTACAACAAAAAGTACGAAATGGCGGAAACTAGCGGAGAATGCCTGTTTGGACGCGAATGTCGAATACAGGGAGCTCCATGCAACCCTGCGACTGGGACTGGACATAAGTGCCGGAAATGTGGTGGCAACTTTCATGCAGTATGTGCCAGTTTTCGAAGTGAGGATCCTGGATTTTGTGGTTGTCAATCGCCGCCTCCTCCCAGCGATGATGTGCAGTCAGCGATAGCAATTGACGAATCGGAAGGATATGGCATGTCAGTGTCATCTTGCACGTCACAATTAGATGATGGGATGGAGGGACCAAGCTCGATGTTTCAAAATCCCACTGCTGCTGCAAGACCCAACAATGCACGACCAAAGAGAAAACGTTCTTCTACAGAAGCTGAGTCTGCTCTGTGGGACAACTTACGCGTACAAGACGAAGCAGCGCTCGAAGCATCAGTGGAAGCTATCCGCGAGAATACGATATCGAAGAAGAGCAGGAAGATGTATACCAGCTCCATGATACGTCTTTTGCAATGGCTCTATGTCAACAGAAAAGAAGTTCTCACCAAGGAGTTCAGGGAGCTCATGGAAAGACAGAATATCATGAAATTGCACTACGTTCCCGATAAAGATCTGCTGCATGATATCCTAACGCGTCGTGAAATCAAACCCATCGACTTTGAAAATAAGGAATCAACCGATCCAAAGTGTAGATTTACATCCACAGCTTTCATTACATGGCTTGAGCATTTGAGAAGTCAACGCGAAGCGGGTGGAAACTCTGAGAATGGTGCGTATGCATTTAGCACTTTGTCAGGACACAGATCTGGTCTGTTTGATCTTTATCGTCACTACGGATTCGAAATGCCTTCCGAACTTAGCAATTCGTTGAAGAAGGATTTCAAAGGCGTGAAACGAACAGTTGCTAAGGGTGCATCGGAGACGAAAGATGTTAAAGTGAGTAGTGGGAAGGACCCATTATCATTCGAAGGATACAAAATGTTAGGGAATTTCAGTTTGAAGCAAACAGGCACAGAATGGATTTTTTTCAGGACTATGCTCATCATATGCTGGAATCTCATTTGCAGAGCAAACAATGGAATCAAAATCCTGTACAACCATATGGAATTCTTCGAGGATGCGCTCAAAATTTACATCATTCATCAAAAGAATGATCAGGAAGGAGATCGACCACGGGATGGGAAACACATTTACGCCAATCCTTTAAATCCAGACATCTGCCCCTTGCTGGCCCTTGGTAAGTGAAAGATTTGTTTGTACACATCGCTAAGAATTGATATTACTTCCGGTGAACGCAGGCATTTACTGGTGTTGCTTTGGAATGAACGATAATGGACATGGAAAGCTATTCCCGGGCAATAATCAGTTCGACCGTTTCAGCAAAATCATCACCAGGTTCCGCAACAACGAAAATCTGAAAGATGCCTTCAAATTCCTGGGAATAGACATACAAAATATCGGGTCACACAGTGTAAGAAAAGGTACTGTACATGGTTTGGTATCCACTCGGATCCAATGACTGATGTTGTGCAAAGGATCCGCTACTTATTGTTCCGGTGGAAGTCCAGATGGTCCAAGATATGTTCCTCTGAGTAATAGGTGACAAACAATATCCATCACTGGATTCTGAGCCTCCTCCCCAATGATGCACGGTAATGCTGCACATACTCCAGCACAGGTCCATGCACATGCGCGGAGCCGCGGAGCTGAGGCATGACGACATCTTCGGGTATGCCGATCTCCCCCAACACGGCCCGTCGAAGCTCGTCGTTGTTGACGAGATGCTGGTACATCACAACCAGGGATAGCATCCCCTCCCGCATCTCCTTCACTTGCTTCGCAGGTAATGCCTCCAGCACAGACTTGATCTCCTTCTTCCTGCTCGCCGCCATGTCCACGGCTTCGCTCAACAGACACTCCAGCACATTTCTGCTAGATCCGTCAGCAGCAGGCGCTCGTAGCAAAGACATTCACCGTTGGGTGGCCGAGGATAGCCGCCACCTGTAGTAGTTGGCGACCCGTTTTTCATTGTCCCTCTCATGCCTCATCCTCTTCATCTTCGTCTGAAGCCTCCTCATCTTCATGTCCTTGTCATGCTTCAGCTTCTCCATCTCCATCTCACATTTCCGTATCTCCATCGCGAGAATACAGACGTCCTCGTTCACGGCATCAGTTTGCAGCACCTTCTGTGCTCGGCGGAGGCATCTCATCGATCGGTCTCTTACACTTGCAGCTCCCTCTGAAGCTTTGCTCAGACAGGCAGGGGCGTCCAAGGTCGTGGCGACGGCGACCAGGGGCAGAAGCAAGGCAACCAGTTTCAGCATGGTGCGAGTACCCCACCCTCTTTCTTGGTCCTCTGAGCCTACCAGCCGACAGGGTACTGAAACGAGGATAACTTTTTATGCAACAAACCCGCCTCAATAAAACACTAGGAAACGGAGGAGGCAGCAAAACCGCTACTCCAACCACGCGCGGCAAGCGACGGCATGCACGACAAGCAGGGGAACAAGGATCAGGACAATGAGCAGTAGCGCAAGGCTCCTGCGAGGAGGACAGCAAGACCCATGCGAGACTCCGAGCGATGAGTCATGATACTGCCGAAACAGACGAGCACGCAAACGATGAAAGCCAGGGTCCCCATACACCGCCTCTTGAGCACAGATGCCGATCCATCCCACTCCGCTGTCAGCGTAGCTCCCGAGTCCATGGTGATCCGCCAGGTACCGGGCCAGAGAGAGCGCAGCCTCGGATGAGTCATCATCAGAGTCGTGAAGTCCAGAACCAGCCCTGAAGCCTTCCACTCTCAAACTTCAATGAAAGTTTGAGAGAAAGACTCTTTACATTGTTATAAACTTTTTAGTGATATAAAAAGTGTTTTAACATGCAAAAAAATATTTTTTTCTATTACTGCGTTTGATTTCCAAGGATAGTATTTGAGTTGGAGAAAGTAGGCTGTAAGGGAATAAAGTTAGGGTAAGATAAAAGAAAAAGGGGATGATTGATAGGGTTCGGGGATGTGAGAGGGATATATATAGGATGTAGTGTGGGCATGAGATTAACATGCTGCTGCGCATCATGTTCGGCCAGTTTCGCTTCGCTCACAGGCCTTAGGCGACATTTATTATTTTTGTTTTAATTTTCTTACGAGAATGGTAAGGGAGATGAAGAATATGAATATGAGAAGATTGAGAGGGATGTTAGAGGGATATGTATAGATCTAGTGAGGGCATGAGAGGGATATGTATAGATCTAGTGAGGACATGAGAGGGATATGTATAGATCTAGTGAGGGCATGAGAGGGATATGTATAGATCTAGTGAGGACATGAGAGGGATATGTATAGATCTAGTGAGGACATGAGAGGGATATGTATAGATCTAGTGAGGGCATGAGAGGGATATGTATAGATCTAGTGAGGGCATGAGAGGGATATGTATAGATCTAGTGAGGACATGAGAGGGATATGTATAGATCTAGTGAGGACATGAGAGGGATATGTATAGATCTAGTGAGGGCATGAGAGGGATATGTACTATATAGATCTAGTGAGGGCATGATAGGGATATGTATAGATCTAGTGAGGGCATGATAGTAACATGCTGCGCATGTTCGGCCAGTTTCGCTTCGCTCACAGGCCTTTTGCGACCCTTGTTAATTTCTGCTAAATTTTCTTATGAGAATGGTAAGGAGAAATATATATAATATTGGTAGTATTTATAATAGATCAGAATAGAGTTAATGAAAGGAGGCAGATAATAAGGCAATTAAGGACATTTGTACAATTTATATGGTGATTTGGAATTTTGTATGTTTTGGTCTTTAAACAAATCTATATAAATTTTTTTGATGGTTTTTCCAAAATAGCCCATACTTTGAACTTTGATTTTCCAAAATAGGGGGTAAATTGGAAATTGGTCTACATTGACCAGTGTTTTTTTTTAATAAGTCATGGCCGAGTCATGAACTGTCATGCACCTTGAAAGTTGACTTAAAGTCTTGCGGTACAGATTCAAAATCAAGTCGTACGATTCGGATTCGGCCGAGCCTTTCCCCCCGTTAGGGTCATTGTTTCGGGTTACTACGAAGCAACTGGGATACAGTACCAGCGTCTCTGATGAGCTAAAGTTCTCGGTCAACTTACAATTCCTGTCGAACAAAAACTCAGATCTGCCTCATACATCACAAAACCACCACCACAGTAAACTCTGAATGTACCATCATGTGTGCGTATTATCATCCTGCAGCCACTACTGTCGTTGGGCAGACTTGCTACACTGATCAGTTTCTGATGGTTGACTGTTGTATGTATTTGTCGTGATGTCAGTAACTCTTGATGAGAGACGGTAAACAGTCACAATGGACCTCGGAACCGATATCGGCCGCAGCTTCACTACAGTCTTTGGACTGACGTCATTGGACAGCAGAAAGCCTGCAAAGCATACGAACAACAAAACCATGTGACTTTGATTTTGAAAGATAGCTGAGAGAATTCCTCATACTTCTAGAATCCATTTAGTCATGAATTTTCGAAACAGGAAGGTAAACATAAACCATATAATCTAAATGTTGTTCATACTCTTCAATCATACCCCACTTCTTCAACAGAAACTCTTGCCTAACCGCCATTCTCCACTTATCCTTTGTAAGATTAGGAGGAGTTGCCTTTAGCCTACACTGTAGACGTCTGCAGCACGTAATCTTTGGGGCGAGACAATAGAATCGTATTGAGCCTGCGTGTTGTTTGCACAATACTGCTTGTCATCCCTCCAAATGTCTTTACTGACTCTAGCTTTTTCCATACTGCTCCGGCTAGCTTTCGATTCGGTGAAAGGAAACAGAGGTTGTCCAGCACTCACAAACAACCTATTCGTGAAAGTACAGTTCTTCATAATCTCACTCATCATCGGAAGCGAAGAAAGCATTCATGAAGAGCACACACTAGCCTTGCCCACATCGGGTTGTCTGTTGCAAGGAAGCAAGAAAAGTCATGTTGCGAAGTGATGTTGCAGGCAATGGAGAGAAACTTCAGGCGGCCTCAGTATATGTTAGGGTTTCGGAGAGTATACTCGGCAGATTCGAAGCTGATACACCACATCCGACATTACATGTCGTATCAAAAGATGGCTACTGTGATGGACGAGGTACCTGAGCATTCAATCAAAGTCTTGCAAGCCCTCGTTTTCACAGGTGAGCAGTTGTATAAATGTCTAGCAAATCAGTGACGACGGGGGGACGACGGGGAAGCAGCACATGCAGCAAGGCGAATGGTCATGGGGGAAAGAGAGCATGCATATTGTGCATTTGAGTGATACAAATGCTTGATTAGATCCATCCTTCCAGACACGGCGCCTGCTTCCCGCTGCCTTGGCTTCAATTGAGGACTGATCTGTTGAATAACGCCATGCTTGTTTGACCTTGTAGGAAATACGAACAGTGCATGTGCAGTGAAAAAGTGACCGATGAAAGTTAGCAGGCTGCAGATGTTGTCGAGAACGGATTTCTCCAGAGAATAGATCTGGACCAACCCCACCTTGATAGTTTTTCACCTCCCGCATAATTGCAGGTCATCATTATTCCCAAAGGCTTCTGTGTACCATATCGGTGGGCATCGTAGCACAACCTTCCGTCGGCTGAGTTGAGGAGACTGTTGCATCGATGCATCTAGGAAGATACGAACTACTGCCAATCCTGTTTGCAAGGAAATCATATTGAACGCATAATCAACTTTCATTACAAAACTCACAAAAAGAGATTAATAATCCATGAGCTCTACCATCATTTACAACTGAACTAAACATAGAAATAATTCATGATGTCAAGATAGCTTCCTTCATCTACCGCTTACTTCCGTCTTGTCCCCCCGCTCCCACTCCCCCCCTTCAGCGAGTGCCTCGCTATGAACCGGTGGTACCAGTTCAAGCTCGCCTTGAAGCCCTCGATCCCCAGCTCCTCCGCTACCTCCTCCGCGTACCTGCACACCTCCTGCCGCCAGTTCGCCCCCCTCGCCGTCCTCACCACGTACTCGTGGATCCGCCGCTCCAGCTCCGGGTGCAGCGTGCTCGTGCTCCGCTTGATGTCCGTCGACACGCCGCTGGCCGCAAGCTGCTTGAGCCTCCGGACGTAGGTCGGCCTGAGGATCTTGGAGATGGACGACCGGCTCTTGCCGTACATGCGCGCCAGCTCTGACGGCGAGCGGTAGTCGAGGTCGTGCTTGGGCGCCTCGCTGCGGCGGACGATGTCGAGCTTCTGGCCGAGGGTGAGCTTGCCTGGAAAGAAGGGGTAGGAGGAGGGGCCGGGCTTGTAGGAGGCGAGGGTGGCAGGAGGCAGCCTTGATCTGCAGAGCAGGGGCGGAGCCGAGGCCCGTGGCAGCGGGGCAAGGTTGAGCGGATCAGCTTCCTGCATCAGTTGCCCCTCCTTATCGGAGTCTTGGTCGGAGGGATCGTCTGAGCGCTGGTCGGGGAGGAGGAGATCGAAGGGCTCAGGCTGGGAGTCTTGCAAGGCTGACTCGTCGCTGGCAGGAGACCAGAGGTCGTCGGGGGAGTCATCGGAGCGCCAGGGGTCAGCGGAAGGGACGGGAGAGGAGGAGTCCGAGGGGAGGAAGAGAAGGGTATCGAGGGGGGAGGCGAGCCAATCGTACTCCGAGTCAAGGGATGAGTAGAGAGAGAGAACATGGGGAAGGGATAGGGGAC